GATGTGGCTCAAGCGGTAGTGTGCTCGCCTGGCATGCATGCGGCCCGGGTTCCATCCTCAGCACCACATACCAACAAAGATGTTGTGTCCGCCGAGAACTAAAAAATAAATATTAAAAAAAAATTCTCTCTCTCTCTCTCTCTCCTCTCTCACTCTCTCTTTAAAAAAAAATAATACTGGGGGTGTAGCTCAGTGGTAGAGCACTTGCTTAGCATATATGAGGCCCTGAGTTTGATCCCCAGCACTGCAAAAATAAATAAATAAATAAGATTTTTAAAAAATGCACTCTAACACATATTTTTGTTCATTTATTTATTTATTGGTGGTGCATGCAAGTCAGGCACTCTACCAACTGAGCTATATCCCCACCCTTAACATACACTTTTGCACAACAAACTTCTTTTGGTAATATTGCTATTCTCATTTCATGGATGTAACTAAAGTTTAACAATCTGCCACATTACATGATGGTAAGCATGGAGCATGGGGCTTTCCAGTGGTCTGGTGAAGAGCTATTTTTTTTTTTTTTTTTTTTTTGCTGTATGTATTCTGTGTCTTCAGGCTGAAGGAGGGGGAGTAGGCCAAGGAGAGAAAGAAGAAAATGGTAAGCAAAGGGACCCCAGCATGGTGGGAGGCTACAGAGTGCAGAAAACAGTTTATCAGAAAACGCATAAGGTAGCAGCAGAGTAGGGAAGTTTAGGGGAACCAGGTGCAGCCTTCGGTGACCTCCTTACCAGGGTCATCTGCAACTGCACTGACACACTCTGCAAAGGGGCTGGAGTTGGGACTAAGAGGTGGGGAAGGGTTGCAGAAGCTATTCCCTGGGAGGCAGAGTCTAGCAGGGCCAACCCACCTCCCCCTACCCACATTCTCCCAAGTTTCATAATTTTTTCTCCTTTCTTTTTTTTCTTCAGTTATGGTTCTCTAAATTGCCCCGATTGATCTCCAATTTGACATCTTCCCACTCAACCTTCCAAGCAGCTGGATTTATAACCATGTGCCACTGTGTCTGGCCTCCATGACCACTTTCTGCAACTCTCAAAGTATAGCGCCTGGGCTTCCCCCACCCCATGGAAGGTTAGAACTGTCACATCTCAGAGCCCAGCATGGGCTCAACCAGCTGACACCTGCAGCCTCTGGAGAAACTGTCAGCCTCAGAATGGAGTAAATAAAACCTGTCCCACCCCAACCCCATTCCCTTCAAAGGAGGAACTCCATTTTGGGGTGGGTCTGAACAGAGAAACCTAAGCCCTTTGTTCTTCTTCTTTGTAGAAGGATAGCAGAACCCTAACACCTCTGACTGATGGAGGATGTAGGGCAGGGCAATTTCTGGGCCTGCCTAGACTCCTGCCCTGTCCTATGGAGCTGAGACCAGTTCAGGGGCAGGATAGACACTGGCAAATGTCTGATTGCACAAAGTACTGCTTCCTGCCAGACACGCTTGGCTCGCCAAGTTCTTGTACCTCTGTTTACTGCCAGAACTTGTGAATAGTAGACAATGGAGGAGGCTGTCCAGGCCATGAAAAGACTGGGGATAGCTGGGAATGGTGGCACATGCTGCTTAGGAGGCAGGAGAATTCCAAGTTTCAGGCCATTCTGGACAATTTAGGATAAAACAAAATGATGAAGCTCAGGGGTAGAGCATTTGCCTTGCATGGGCCAGGTTCTGGGCTCTATCCTCAGTACCAAAAAAAAAAAAAAAACAACAAAAAATTACACGATGAGCTTGAGTGTTGTGGCACATACCTTTAATTCCAACCAGCTGGGGGGCTGAGACAGGAGGATCTCAAGTTTGAGGCCAGCCTCAGCAACTTAGTGAGGCCCTGTCAGTCTTTACCACTGTAGTACTTTGTGCAATTAGACCTGTGGCCTGAGCAACTTAGTGAGACCTGAACTCAAAATAAAAAATAAAAAGGGCTGAGGATGTTGTTCAGTGGTTAAGCACACCTGAGTTCAATCCCTGGTACCAAAATAAATAAATAAAGGAATAAGTGATGAGAAAGTGGTAACTTTCATCTGTCCACTCTATCCCTCAGGAGGAAGCCAGTTGCTATGTCATGAGAGGCTGTGTGGGAAGACTTTGAGGCCTCTGGCCCTCAGCCACCTGAGTGAACCTTTTTGTAGGCAGATATTCTAACCCCATCAAGTCTTCAGATGACCACTGGCTTGTCCACATCTTGGCAGTAATCTCATGAGAGACTCATTACTGAAATTACTCAACTAAGCCACTCCTGATTCCTGACTGTGTGAGGTAATGTTTATTATTTTGAATTATTAAGTTTTGGGGTAATTTGACAATGGATAACTAATACACTCCCTTTCTACTTAAGGACCTGAGATGATTCCCCACCCACTCTCCCACTGAAGCCCTTGAGCTCCTTAACTCCTAATGTCTCTTCCTGTCCAGGCCTCCCTTCCAGAACACTGGTTTACAGAAATCCTGGTCTGTGTGGTGTAGCGCAGTGGTAGACCATGTGTCTAGCATACATGAGGCCCTGGGTTCAATCCTCAACACTCCAGTTAAAAAAGAAAGGAAATGCCGAATGAATTAACCCTTCTCTCTGGAGGCCTTAGGAGGCCCCCCAAAAGAGCTGGAGATTATCCCCCCAAAGAGCTGGAGATTATCCTCCTGAGAGTGGGGTTTTGTAGGGAGAAGGTGGAAGAGTCAGGGATGTCACTCTCTAGGAGAGGCCTCAGGAGAAACACTGTATGCACAAGCCCTCGGCCCCCTCTTCCTTCCATCCTTTATTTTCTCTTTCTGGGAGGTGGAGCAACAAGGTGGTCCAGCACTCCGCTTCTGTCCCTTCATGAAAGAGCATGGGGGAAGTCCCTGCATAAGCCCCAGTGAGTCTTTGATGATTCCTCTCATAAGCCCAAAGGGCATAGAATGTTATATAGTAGAAAGGAAAAAAGCCACCCACAGAACTTTCCAGGAAACCATTGCCCTGTGAAAGCACGGGGCTTCCACTAAGGCTGTAGAGAATAGGGTCCTGTGGCAGAGCTGTGGAATGTCCTCAGCAGCTCCCCCTGCCCCACAGCAGGTGGTGGGAATGATGCTCTGGAGACTTTCAAAGAAGCCCTTAGGACTTTGTTTTAGTGTGATCATCCCTGGTAAGTGCTACCACTTCCTCCTCTCTGTGCAGCTGTTTCTCTACCTGAGGCAAAACAAGAATCACCACCACCATCTTGAGGCTCAAAACATCAGACTACCTCAAACGATTCATTATTCAGGCTTCTGAGGGTGGACCCCTTTCCCTAAGGCTTCACACAGAACGATGGTGTCACTCTCTCCATTCTCCGTCCCCAAGTCTATGGTTATTGTATCTCCTATCTCCACAGAGACAGCCTTCAACCTCATTATTTGTCCCTTCATGTCACTTTGCACATGGCATACAGGTTCAGTGCAACAACCAAAAAGGCAGTTTGTCAACAGCAGTGCATATGCCACCCTGTACCTCCCACCCCTGCAGGCTCCCCACGATTTGCTTTCAATATTTTGTTCTCCTGTAGAGGGCTAAAGTTCCCTGACAGACACAGAGCTGTCTGCAACCAAAATTTAGGGCCTCTACCCATTACAAGTGGTGAGACGAGTATGCCATGGGCTGAGGCCCAGTGTGCTATGTTAAAAAAGGCCAACTATATGGTCCAGAGGCTCTCTCCAAGAAAGACAGAGAGGAGCACAAATGGGCATGGGGGTCTTCAATATCATTATTGGCATAACCAGAACAGGCCCACTTTTTCCTTCATTCAATAATAGAAATTCAGACAAGTACATTGCATATGAAGAGCACTTCACAGTTTTCAAAGTTCTTTTATTATTCCATATTCACAACCCATTTTGGTGGGTTGTTATCATTATCTCTTTTATTTTTCTTTTTGAGATAAGTCTCACTATGTTGTCCAAGCTGGCCCCAAACTCCTGGACTTAAGCCATCTGCCTGTCTTAGCCTCCTCAGTAGCTGGGGCTACAGACACATGACAGCACCCAGCCATTATCCCATTTAATAGGTGAGAAAACTGAGGCTCTAGGAGATTGGTGACAGTCACATCAGCAGAACCAGAATGAGAAGCCAGGGCTCCTTACTCTCACAGCTCCAGCAACAGCCAGTTGCCTGGATGCTGTTTTTCCTCCCCTTTGTCAAACTTGCAAGATAACTCTGCAAGGGTCAGGGCTGTATCTCCTGAAGCAAGCAGTTCGGTTCCTCTCCTGCAAGGTGTGTAGGACATGCGAGAGCTGTTGGGTGCACAGAGAATGTGCATACCACAAAGCAGTGCCTGCACACCCTGTTGATCTGTGCCCGGCTTTATTCACTGCAGTGTGAAATCTCATAGTCGGCCCAGTGACCTCCTGTGGGGTGTAACAAGCAGTGACCACTGGGTGGCAGTGTGTTCTCATGCCTGGTTCTAGAAAAGTGGCCAGGGCTAAGGAATGTGGGGGTGGGGCAGAGGTAGGAACCTCAGCCAACTGCCTAGAAAGGTTGTGAGAGACCCGTTCTCCTCCTGGAGGGCTTGACACGACGGGGTTCCTGTGTGTGTGTGTGTGTGCGCGCACKCGCGCATACATGCCTGTGGCCGCGCGCTCCTCTGCTGCAGCCAGGGGGTCTAGAGCAAGTGCTGAAATGCAGCTGAGTATGGGGTGGGCCAGAGGCACAAAAATCTAAAGGAAACCAGGGCAGCCAGCACAATGTGGGCGGAAGGACGGAGGAGGGGGCTATAGAGGTAAGAGAGGGCTTTTGGGAGCTTTAGAAAGATGATTACCCAGGAGAGAGAACAAGAGAGAGACCAAGGAAGAAACACAGCGGTCAGAAACAGAAAAGGGGAAGATGAGGGAGATTGGCTGGAGAAAATAGGTTAGGAGGCTGGCTGGGGTGGGAGGCCTCTAGAGGCTGGGGAGAGATTGGAACCTTCACTGGACAAGAAAGAGCCAGACTCAGACTTGCTGCTGACAGGGGATTTATTTGGACTAAGCTGCTGAGATCTGCTGATTGCCTCAGCCCCAGGTCAGAGGTGTCTTGGCTCCAGCTCTGACTCCAGCTCCAGTTCAGGCTCTGGCTCCTGCTCTGGCTCCGGCTCCGGCTCCGGCTGTGTCTCTGGCTCCAGCTCCATCTCTGGTTCTTGCTCAGGCTCCTCTATTTTGCTTTGAGACTGAGGAGGGTGAATCCCATGCTCTAAGGCAGAAAATCTTCTGGGCCTCCACTGAGAGAAGAGATGGAGAATGATAAAGGGAAAAGGAATAGAAAGGACACTGAGTCCTTCTATTTTTTCCCCAGTCTTCTGCCTTCTCCATCTGGTTCAGGGCCTTCTCTCAGCCCCTTCAAGCTTCCCAGGTGGAAACTTATGAAGGAAGATGGAGGGCTGATGACAAATTCAGGATCCATTTTGATCATCTTCCCTGAGACAGGTGCCGGATAGCATTCTGAGGAAATTGAGAGAGGAAGCCAGTGGGTGAGTATCCCTGGCTCACCTGTCTTCTCCAGCAGTGAAAGCCAAGGGCTCCAGTCACCAAAAGGAGCAATGAGAGGGCACCAAGGATGAGGAGAGAGAGATGGCCTGCCTTGAGGGTAACTGGGGCTCTCCCAGAGCGTTGGGCACCTATAGACAAAACACATAATTAGGCATAGGGTCAGGGATAACATGGACATTGTGCCACTCTCTCATACTTTACAGATGCAGTAAGGTTCAGAGAGTTTCAGGGACTTGTCCAGGATGGTTCCACTAATTAGTAGGAACAATGGGTTAGGCCTGGACTTGAGGTCAGGTCCCTGACTGGAACAACAACTCAACTGGAGAGATATTGAAAGAAAAGAGCTGGGGATGGGGAGTGGCAGGAGGTGTTCTGGAAGGGTGATCAAGATGATTGCTTTGGAGTTGGGGCCATGGCATTTTGGGGCCTCAGACCTGTTGAAGACAGCTCTGGTATGTACACCACTGCTCCGAGAAGCCTCTCTTCTTGGTAAAGTTGGCATTGCCAGGATTGGGAAAGGAGCTTGGCCTCTTGCATCTCCAACCAGGGTCCTGGGGAACTCCTGGACCTCCTGTCCAGGGGGTTCCATACAAAGCGCTCATGTCCTGATGCTGGAGTCACCTCACATAGCAGTTTCCCCAGGGAGCCAGGTAACCCAAAGAGTTTAGGAGTCACTGAAAAAAAAAAAATTAGAGAGAGGAGATCTCTTGGGGTCCTGACCTGGTTATAATACCACAGATTCTCAGTCACCCTGCTTTCACCAGGGCTCTGGTAGGGCAAGGCTGGAAAGAAGGTTAGGGGTCATAGTCAAATTAATCTTGACAATGCTTGGTCAGATTTCCCCTTGCTCAGTAACATTCCAGATTCCCTATTGCCTTTACAACATTGTTCAAACTCAAACTGGCACTAAAGGCCACATAAGCAATATTATTTCAGATTCTTTTACATTACTTTCTCCTGAAATGCTCCCACCATCAATATCAATCAGGTAACTTGGCTCCCAATATGCCTTGCAATAGTCCCCCTTCTGTGATTTGACTCACATCAGTGCCCACTGCCTTTGTGGTACCTCTGAATGAACTTATCCCCCTTTCTGAAAGTTTAGAAGACAATGAACTGACCCAGTGGTTGAGAGGCAGAGCATTCTCAAAGCTGTACAGGATATTTGGAGCAGACAAATGGTGAAGGGCCTTGACCTGTCTGAGTATGGCATATGGGGGAGGTAAGATTTGATGACACAGACACCTGAGTTTAGACAATGAGTCTGGCATGTCCCAGCTGTGTGACTTTGAGAACATTCCTTCTCCATAAAATGGGGGTGGGCTGGGTTTACAGCTCAGCTGGTAGAGAGCCTGCCTCACAAGCTCAAGGCCCTGGGTTCAATCCCCAGCACCACAAAAACAAAACAAAACATAAAATGGAGGTAACAGTATCTCTCCAATTGAGTTGTTGCACGTAAAATGGTTGGCCTAAAAGAAGACACTGGACAGAAGGAATAGGTGGGCTTTGGAGACTGACTGGACATGGGGAAGGAGGACTCCAGGGTTAGGATGAGTGGAATTCCAATGGAGTTAATGACAGGCTGAGTGAGAAAGTGAATTGGAATAAGACAATAATGGGGTTCAGGATGAGGCTGAGGAATGTAGATATTTTAAAAGCAGGTAGATATTTGGAATTGACTCTGAGGAGGCATATTATTTATTAGTGTATTCATTTATTTTTGCAATCAATATGCATTATTAAGCACCTACTATGTGGTGCTACTGTTACTAAACAGTAACAGGTGACAGGTAACTACTGCAGATGTTGCTAAAATGTCATGGCTGATAGCTTCCAATCAATTAACATTTTTTGAATACTTTTTTTCTATGTTTGTTTTATACTGTCTTAAAAAACCCTTGCTCAGTAAATATTTGCTGACCGAGGGGCTGATTTATTAACTCCTTCCAAATCCAGGCAACTTCCTGAAACTTTATCCAGAGCCCCAGCCCCAAAGCAAAAAGAATTCTAGAAATATATTCTACCTACTTTGAATCATTCAAGCTTTTGTCACCTCTCGGAACTTCTCAGACCCTCCCACCAGTTCAGAGCAGGGGAGTCCCTTAGAGAACAATGGAACATTTATTTTGTGACTCAATGGGGAGATTTTCAGTTTCGGTTCTTTATGAAGGGGATGAATAAAGAAGCCACAACTTGTGATCCTGGCATCATGGAGTGGATTTGCAGTGTTTGACCAGCCTTTCTTTCTCCCAGTCCCTGCTCCCCTGGGATGAGAACTACTCCTTTCCCACCTGGGGCTAACCTGTGATGACTGCCAAAGTGATGGTAGCACGGAGCTGCTGCCCCTGTAGATGGATGTGGCAGGTGTAGGTCCCAGCCTGGGCCAGGCTCACAGCCTCTAGATGAAGAGTGAAGTTGCCATTGTCTCCAGCCACCAGGAGGTCAGGGCCTTCCCCAGGAGGGGACCACTTGGCAATGAGGGAAGACTGGGTTCCCACACCAGGAGGCAGATGGCAAGGAAGCTCAGCCCTTGAACCTGCTCCAGCATACACTGTCAAGGGCACTGGGGGCTCAAGGCCTGGAGAGAGAAGGAAACCCAAAGTTAAGCCAAGGGGAATGTTCCAGTGTAGTGGGATGGGAATGCTGCAGTTGTAGGGAAGGGAGGCAGAGGAGTGACATTGGAGCTGGGAATGCAGATCAGTGGTAAAGCACTTGCTAGGCCCTAAGTTCAATTTCAAGTATCACAAACAAAAAAAGGTGAGGGGGGCGGGCAGGGAGATCGGGCTAAGAAGAGGGCTAAGGAAAAAATAAGGTGGATGAATTTAGGATGCTCAGAAATCCAGAAAGTGATTCTAACATGGTGGTACATGCCATCAAGCCCAGTAATTCCGGAAGCTAAGGCAAGAGGATTACAAGTTCAAGGCCAAGTTTGAGGCCAGCATAGGCCACTTAGCTTGACTCTGTCCCAAAATTAAAAAAAAAAAAAAAAAAGGAGGGTAGGTGGCTGGGGATATAGCTCAAGGGTAAAGTGATGCTGAGTTCTATCCCCAGTAACATATGGGGAGTGAGATCCAGAAAAAGTAAGTTGGGCAAGCAGGAAACCAAAGGTTGGCAAATGAGGCTGATGGCCAAGAGAAAAGCTAGAAGGGGAGATGGCAGTTAAAAGGCTGCCACATGCGGCTGGGGATGCAACTCAGTGGCATGCAGGAGACTAGGGTTCCATCCCCAATGCTGCAATAAATAAATTTTTAAAAGGTTGCCAGAGAAGAAAGGGGTCAGGCATGTAGGCCCAGAGCAATCAGAAGTGACACCAACTGCTAAGAAACTAGTTTTGGGACCCGTGAGTCGGGGGGGGGGGGGGGGGGGGGGGGGGGGGGGGGGGGGGGGGGGGGGTAGGAAGGGGTAGTGGTCAAGGGTAAAGAGTAGTTACCCAGAACTGTGAGGTTGTACATGATGGAGACATTAAAGCCATCACTGTAGGTAATGATACATCCCCAGGTCCCAGAGTCCAAGGGGCTGACTTGGGGCAGAAAGAGGAAGCTTTCAGCTAAATAGTGATGGGGGGACTTCTGGACAGGGACTTGGCTTTGGCCCCGGAACCAGCGCACAGAAGCTGGGCGGTCAGGACGACTGAAAGAGCAGTTCAAAATGACCCAATCTGAGGTCCTGAGAGATCCTGTGGGGCTAGCAGTCACTGCAAGGAGAAAGAAGATTTGATCAGCCCCACCCGAAACCTTTTCCAACCTAAGGGCCTAACCAAGCCAGAAGCTCCCAGAAACAGGGATCTTGTTTTAGATTTGCCTTCTCCCCTCCCCACCAACCTCTACTTCCCTCCAGCTCAGTAGCTAGCACCTGGAGGAGTTTTAATGTGGATCACTAAGAATCCTTGATTTCTTTCTATTGTCCCCTGCCCCCAGTTTACTAGGCATGGCTTTCCCTTCTCTTTCTCGGTATCTTGCCTGAGGATGCCCATGAAGCCCCTCCATTCCAAACATATCTGAAATGAATCACTGTGGCGCCATGCTCTACCCTCTCTCTGCAGAATAGGTGCCTCCCCACCTCCGCCAGGGCAGTCCTACTGTGGGTAGGCAAAGAGAGGGGGGCTCCAGGGGTGACACAATCTCTCCAAAGGGCCCTCCCCGCATTACACGTGCTTATCCAGGGGCACCTTTCACTCATCAATCAAGTTCCCGCTGCTTCCTGTACCCTGCTGGAGGCCCTCTGGCAGGGCCTAGGGCACAGCCTCTACCACAGCCCTTCCTGCCTCAGGAGCAGCAGCGGCGAATGGGGGACCACCTCCCCCACCGCTCTCCCTCGTACCGCCCCACCTACTAGAGGCCTGGCCCACACGTAGACGGAGCCGGCAGGCCAGGGTGCGGTCCTTGAGGCGCACTGCAGCGTGGTACTCGCCAGCGTCGGAGAGCAGAACAGGACGCAGCCACAGTGAGAAGTCCCCGCGCTGGAGGCCGCGTTCCTCCAGCTGGAAGCGGGGCTGCAGGGGCAGCCTCCCGCTGCGCAGGCCTCCTGGAGCCACACTCAGCAACGTGTAGCGTTGGGGCCCTATGCCCCGGGGCGAGGGCACCAAGGGGGCGAAGCTTTTAGACAAGGGACGGCTTAGGGTGGGAGCAGGCGGGTCACTGGGCAAGAGAAATAATGAAATTGAGAAATTAGGGGTTAAGAAGCCCCAGAGAAGATACAGTCCAACAACGCTTTGAGGTAGAGGAAGCCCGTCCCCAAGACATCTCTTGACTTCCAAAGCACTCCCCAACACACTCACACACCAACCCCATCCCCTTTCCTGTTGGGCCAGCACCATCCACTAATGGAGAAGTTACATACTATGGAATGCAGATGTAGGAGAGCAGCCTGCAGCGGAAGGGTAGAAGGGGAGCATGAGGAAAGGGGAGGCTGTCACTGGCTTCAGAGGGAGTGACATCTCAGAGGAAGGAACCAGACTGGTTTGGATGTTGAGCTATGTCTGGATACCATTAGTGCTAGATTGGGAGGTTCTGTTGCCCAAGTTTGGAGTACATACCTGTCTGGTTGATGCTGCCAGGTGACAACTCCTCTCCGGAGAAGACCAGGATTTTGGAAGGGGATTTTAAGTCTGCAAGGAAGGTGAGCAGGAGTCCCCTCCTGAGCCCACACCACCAGGACCTCTTTCCCAGGGTCTGGAGCCTCCGCTGGAGAAGCAAAAGAGAGGCCAATGGGAGAGGCCATGAGCCAAGAGACTTAAGAGTACAGAAGGACCTCAGTGTTTCCCAAATGAGAAACAGGATAGAGGAAGGGCCTGGGTTTCTTTCTGCCTCTTCTTTGCCAAGGGAGAGACTGAAGAGAAGCTCTGGGAGTGGAAAGACTTGCTCAAGAAAGGCATTAGGAGACTCCACCACAGAGCTAAGGACCTCAGGACCTTTCAAGCCATGGAGAGCTCCCTGCTGGCCCCCTCTTGTTGGTCAGGAGGTCAAACTTCCCCCATCCCCACCTTACCTGGAGCCACCCACAGCAGTTGCAGAAGCAGCAAACCCAGGAACTGAGCCTCCCACATCTCCCCTATGGCCTGGGCTGAGCTGAACCCTCCAAAAAAAGGAGGTCAGAAAAGGGAGTGGGGGGTCTGAGGAATAGAAGAGAAATTCCTCAAGAAGAAAGGTAGAGGGAGGAAATCTAGAGGAAAGGAGACCACCAAGAGGGAGGCCTGGAAAGAAGGAGGAACAATAGGCTGAATTTCAAGGGGAAAGATGGCCAGATAAGGCAGGGGTGGTACACCCCAGGAACCAGGCTGTGAGTAGCAGAGGGCAGAGCAGAGGCAAGGTGGCTGTCTTGAGCTGGGATGTTGTTCTACTGCTCCCAGGGCCCTGGCCCCTGTCCTTCTGCTTTCCCTCCACCCTCCCCAATGCCCGCCCCCCACACCCCGGGGCTTATGGTTTCGCTTTGCAGTGGAAAGTCTGAGGGGGTTGATTCCCAGCAGCATCACCCTCCACCTCTGAGGTAGCACTCCCCTTGTTTACTTCCTCAGTCCTGGGTCTCCCCACCACAGCCTTCTCACCCTTCCCCACCCTGCAGACTCTTCCCTCTCCTTGGTACTTCACACTCTTCTCTCCAAATATTTGAGAACTACCCACTTGTCCATCTCTAAACTACCTCCTCAGTCCCAGCATTCACACTTCCTTCTCTGCTCATTTCCTCCTTCCTTTAACCTCCCAGAATTTCATTCACCCCTGTAGACCTGTTCCCCAGCTGTCTATACAGTGTCTTCTGGCAACAAGATAGAAATGAAACTTCACTGCACCCTACATGACAGTAGAAGTGGGGAAGGGAATGTCAGTGTGTGAATAGCTACATTCTTTCAAGCCTTCATTCTGTGCCTGTCACTATATTGGACACTTTGTCACTCATGAAATGTTTCTCCTCCATTACACAGATGTGGAAACTGATTCTCAAAAAGATTTAATAGTTTCTCAGTGACTCAGGAGGACAAGTTCAAAGCCAGCTATGGCAACTTACGGAGGCCTTAAACAACTTTATGTTTAGGGCTGTGGATTTGGCTAAGTGGTTAAGTACCCTTGGGTTCAATCCCCAGTACCCCATCCCCCCAAAAAATTAATAATTTGCCAAAAATTAATAATTTGTATGAAGGCAAAAGCTGTGTTTGTGTGTGGTCCTGACCCTGGGTGAGTTGTGGGTATTTCCTTATCTCCGGTGTTGACAATTAATCAATCCCTCTTCCCTGTCCAAAGTTTCTAATCCACAGGTTCTGTACTAAGGGCAAGGGTGATGTAGACTTTGAAAAATGCTAAATCTTATACCAGATCAAATTTAAGGCAGAAAGGTTAGGGAAAAAATGCTGAGACAGACAACTCTTGTTCTGAGCCCAAGGAGCTCAGCTGGAAGAGTTGGAGGGCCAGTGACAAGGAGACAGGCCTGGGAACAAATTCTGGAGCTCTCCCCTGCTTGTTGGAAAGGAGCTTGCTTCCTGTGTCAGGCAGAGGGCATCTTCAATGCCAGGAAGTTTTCCCTCCAGATCCTAGGAAGTAGGGACCCAAGTCTACTAGCCTCTCCCACTTCAAGGGCGGGACTTCCTGTTTCTGGAGCTGTTTCTATTTGCCTGGTTCAGCACAATAGAGCTGGTAGCTTTCCACTGGGCTCAGCAGTGTCTAGATCTTGTGTGGGTTAGCGGGGAAGTGTGTGCATTGCTGGGGAGGAGCATCCCCAAGAAGCCAAACGAGACATAAGTCAGCTCTCAAAAGAAGAGCTAGGCTTCCACTGCATCCCTGGAAGGCTGACTTATCATTTGGAATTGTTGAGTGTGAGGTCAGCCAGTTACCCTCATCCTTTTCTACCCTTTCAGTGTACTCTCTGGACCTCGGGAAAGCAGAAGACAGGTTAAAAACAGAAGCGCGACCATTTCTTTATTAAATTATACAAAAAGGGGAGGGGAGGGGGGCAGCTGTGGGGCTCGGCCCCAACCCCGGCCCCACCCCGGCCTGGCGCTGTCTGACAGGAGGGGATCTGAGGGAGACCCAGGGATCAGGCAGGAGAGGGATAGGGCAGGACATGAGGCTGGGGGATGCAAAGAGTAGGTAGGAGAGGCTACCCAAGGACGAGGACAAGTGCCATGGTGGGTGAGGAAAGGGAGGAAGAGAGCAAGGAGGGGAGAAGGGCCACTGGGGACCAGCTGGGGAGCTCAATGGAGCAGGTCAGGAGGTGGAACAATGGCAGAGTGAGGGTGGAGGGACAGTGTCTGGAGAGGCGGAAATGAGAAGGCTGGGGAGAAAGGGTGGCAGTTCTGGTGCAGGATCCAGAGCAGGGAGCCAGGTGAAGGGTGGCTGTACTTGTCTGTTTCCACCCACACCTCCAGGCCCTGAGGGGCCTACTACCCCCAGCCCATTGGCAGGGGGCTCATGCCGATGCCCCATTTTCTGTCTTCTGCCGCTTGGGATCCGCTTCATCCTGTGGAGAGGAAAAGAGTTGGGATAGTTGTAAAATGGGAGAGGGGACCTCCCCCTGTCCCGGCTAGCCATGCTCCAGCCCCCGCCCGTGCCACCGCTAGGATCTGGGTCCAAGTCCAAAGGGCACCCAGCCCCTGCTGCATCCCTGACAGCCCCTCAGGCCCGGCAACCAGCCCAAACCTCCTCTTCGGCAGCTCTCTTCAGCGCGGGCCCTTCGTCATCCTCTTCTTCTTCTTCCTCATCTGAGGAGCCAGAAATGGGTCATTGGGGAAGAGCAGAAAGCTCTGGCAAAGACCCCCTGTGGTTGCCCTCAGCCCTGTTTCAGGTCTTCAAACCCACCCTGACTGTTCTTTTTAGCCCTGATTTTTCCAGCCCAACCTCCACTGCCCCTCCCCACCTTCTTCATCCCCTTCATCTTCCTCCTCTCCATCCTCAGCAGTTTCTTCTTCTTCCTCCTCAGCTCCGTTTTCTTCCTCCTGAGGGCATCAAGATAGGGAGTATTGTAGGGCTAGCTGCGCGCCTCTACACACCATGGTAAGGGGCACTGGGTGACAACAGGCCTCAGGGTGGGACAATGGGACATGGGCCAACACCCCAAGAAGGTAGCTGGAGGAAGGACGTAATAATAGGGAGGGAAGATGGTCGAGCACGTGTGGTCACCTCCCACCTGACCCCTGCACACCTCTACCACTTCTTTCTTTCGCTCTTTCCGGCTTGCCTTCTCCTCCACCTTCTCCTTCTTCTCTTTCAGATCCTGCAAGGGAAAAAGAAGTCACCTTTATTTCACCACAAATGATGTGTAGCCCTTCAGTGCCTCCAGACCTGGTTCTCCCTCTCTGCATTAAGTTTAGAGGTGTGTGAGTGAAGAAGGTGGCCACAGCTTAGAACAGAGGTACCAGGGTCCTTATATTAGGGCCACAGAGGGATTGACACCTGACACCTCTTCCCTAAGACCCAAGGGGAGTGAGAAAAGTCCCAATGAAAGGGGAACAGGCAGCCAAGGTAACTGATCCCCCATCCTTGACAAGTTCTTCCAAACCTCCCAGGCTGAAGAGTTCAGCTCAGCAAAGCAAATCCCCTCCATCTGCTGGCAGCCTCAATGCCCCACCCCCTTCATGTCCTTCCTCCTCCTTTGCCTGCCCCCTCCCACTGCCGGCTTTCCTCTGCCTTTTGTCTACCTCTGGGGCCTTTTCCTGAGTACTTTCTCTCTTGGGCATCTCTCCCAGCTTCCCCTTCAGCTCCTCAGGCCTTTGTTTCTCCCAATCTGTGTCTCCCTAATCCTCAAGATCCTACATGGTGGGCTGATCCTACATGGTCCTACATGATAGCTTAATGGTGGAGTGCTTGCCAGGCATGCATGAGGCACTAGGTTCAATCCTCAGCACCACATAAAATAAATAAATAAATAAAATATTATGTGTACCCACAACTTAAAAAACTTGGTCAAACTCTACAGAAATAGAGAGAGCACCCCAGCATAATTCCAGAACCTTACTCCCATTTTACCATGCCTATCCCAAAACTGCTTCAGGAGTTTCCTCCTCCCTACCTCCATAGTCTATACATTGGTGTGATGGAAGAGTAGAAGTGGCCATTTCCAATGGAAATGTAGGTAAAAGTAGGATAAAAGAAACATGGAAAGGAAAGACATGGTAGATGAAGAGAGCAAAAAACAGGGGAATGGGAAGATGGATGGGGCAGGTACCATCCAGTGAATCTTCCCACCACACTGCCCCTCTTCTTCACCCCAAGATGTGGTCAGGCACACACTTGTCCTATTCTGATCTGGCCCATGGGCATCTCCTATCCCATCTCCGGTGGATGCCCATGTGGGCATCCCCTCTGGACACCACACCTGCCTTCCGATTCAGTTCTCTCCCTATCCCATCACTTGGCAGGTTCTGAGGACACTGCAGATATCCTCCTGAGATCTGATCTGGTGTTGGTGTACAACTCTTGTGTACCTGATTCCATATGGATGGAAGTTTTGTGTGTGAACAGATCACCCTGGAACAGAATTGGGGATTAGAGAGGGGCTTGGTGCCAATAGGCTGGCCTAGGGCACACTCAGTTCCCTTCTCACCTTCAAGGTAAGCATAGCACACCTGATCCTCTAACTCTAAGTTTCTATTTCATCCTACTCTGCTGTCTTCATTTTTTTGCCACAAGGCAGGTTTGGCAATTCTAACACCTAGTGGGCTTTTCCCTATATCCAGGATCAAGAGACCCAGGGGCTAATTCAGCTTCTCCCTAGGGGGCTTGTACCAGGTTGGTAAGATCCTGGCCTGAGTTTTCTAACTGGGCAGTTGAAGGGAGGGAGGGAGAGGGAGGGAGAATACCAGAGTCCAAAGTCCAAGGGGCCGGACCCTCTCCTCCCCTGTACTGTCCTTCTGGTCACTGTCCTTCCATGATCCCTTTTCCAGGAGAGTATGTGACCTGGGCTCTAGGTCTTGGGCTAAGCAGCTCTCTGGCCTCAACACAGGCACTCACTGACACAGACTAATACTGATTCACACAGCCACAGAGGAGCGCCCACGCGATCTGGAGACACATGGCTCGGTGTTTGGGCATTCTGGCACACTCTTGAGACAGCACAAGAGCACAGTGGAGCTACTCGGTGCTCACAAAGCAACAACATGGCTCCAGAACGTCTACATCTCCACACGCACACATGTAACTGACACGGGCAGTCCCACACACTCGCTAGATTTTAGACATACAAAGACACCTACTCGTTGAAGTCACATGCCACCGCACAGCCCACCGGAGGGCCACACAGGCACACCTGTCAAAGCTCATACATGTGCCCTCTCCCACTGTCTTCCCCCCTTGTACTTCCCTGGCCTCCAAGAGAACTGTGTGACTCCT